GTCTGCTTTGCCCCCAGATGGGTGCCCCTGAATCTACAGAGATGATCCTGGGCGATACTGACACAATCCCCCATTTCTTGGCCAAAAAAAGACCCCTTCTTTTCGAAACAATCTCTGGGGGGTACTTTTTGTGCGCCTCGGCCTGGCGGAGAAATTTCCTTGAATTGGGACACTGGACCCGCAAGGGTTAGAAGCAGGTTATTGCTTACGTTTATTTTAAATGACAAAATTGTTAAGTTATTTTGGTCTGTTTTTATTTTGGCTTTTACAGAAAGACTACCATGAAGTGTAATTCAGTAACTGTTCATCTGCGTACGATACCACCGAATTGCTCTGTTCTTCATGTATTTTAAATTTTCGGAAGTGATAGGTTGCGGTTTTTTGCAGGACATTTCTCTTTAAAGTCAGGTAATTTTTCAATTTCCATATATAAATTGATATGTAAGCAAATTTTTTTACAAAAGGCCTTTTTACGAATAGAGCTCTTAAGAAGTAACTGAACGAAAAAAATTACAAATTCTAAAACTTTTGCACGTTATTTTTCTAATCGAAGGGTTCCGGAAGCGTGCCATGAGGGGTCAACTTTCAGGCTCTATAGGAGCAGAAAATAGCTGCCACAATATCCCAAAATACATCGAACTGAATTTGTTGAGAAATCGGCATTTTCGTTGGGTTGTATTGAATTTGTTGGAGGTAGAAGTTATAAATCAAGGTTTTGTTGGAATGGTTGGGGAGGAAAATTAGGAATTTGTATAAAAAAAAATTACTTCCAAAATTGCCCCCAACATTCCATGCAGAGTGTAGGAAAAATTGTCATCGTTATCATTTTTCTCTTCATTGTTTTCTCACCAATTTGTCAAGATGGTGCCGTATAGCTGGCCTTTGGTCATTAAAATTGAAGATATTAAATTGCGCTTGCAATGATTGTCATTAAAAGAGGAGTTCTTATTAAGGACCTCCATTGTTGTCCAGAAAATGGATGCACTTTTCCCCAGCCGATGATAAACAATGAACATGTAATGAATACAAGTTGTCAGACTGTAACAATCAAGGAAATTGCCATTCTCTCTGTGTTATTCATCAACAATGGAAAGGCATTAACAGAACGCTCGCAGTTTTGCATTCATGAAATTCATGACGGTGCATTTATCTTGAGGCGGGATCTTTATGGAAGATAACGTAATGGCCATTCTATCTTCAGCGGGCACGCGCGCACGTTGTGTTGTTTTATGCGCAGGATTACCGACTTCCAGCACTGCAGCAAGAATTGTAAGTTCACTTGTGTGATTATTTTGGATTTTTAAAACAGCTAAGCGAAAGTCTGATTTGAAGGAAATGTACACAATATTAACGTGTAGGGGAAAAACATAAGGATCTCAGACAAAAAGTATAGCTTGCGTAATGTGACATTGCTTTTCAACTACATGCACGCCTCAAAGTGAAATCGATGGAAAAAATCAAGGCCTAACCTCAAATTCGCCTGTGGAAACATTTTGAAGATTGCGGCGTACCAATTGTTGCGGCTGAGAAGCTGTTCTTTAACTCATGCTTTTACAGGACATCGTGCTTTAAGGAATAAAACGTCACGGTTTGTAAAACTGATGATTAACTTTCCCCACCGGTGGTTTTTATGCGATTTTTTTGGTTTAAGAAGTATCAATCTTTATTAATATAATTCGTATAGGTTTTCCCGGCCAATTTCAGAAAATGTGTAAATGAATTAGTAATCGCAGCATTCGTTTTCGAGCAAAACAGAATGAACCTTCAAATCCCCGTTTCTGTTTAACAAATAAAATTCTATTTCGAGGAGGGTGTATTCAGTCGTATGGAGTCAGCGTTCAATTTCTTGAAATTGCACTGGTTTAGTATGTTGACATTCATTTTTGCGCGAATTTGAATGCACCCCTGTAATCCTGCATTCTTCTTCACTTCAAGCGATTTCCCCAGTGTGTTATTTGAGGTATGCCTCGTCAAGAATTGGAGTTCGTTTGTTAACAGAAGTTGCATAATAGAAGTGTTTAGTAGATTGGTTAAATGTTTGAATATTCATGATTGAAATAAACCATTCATGCTGCCATTGAAACCTATACCGACTATTGCAAGAAACCTACAAACACCGGTGCTGAGGGAAGCTTCCTTCTTGTGCTGCGTTTTAGTCATAGAAACCTTAATTTTTTTACCGTTTGACAACAAACACACTGTAAAATGAGTTACATGGCATTTATTATCAAAGTGGAGTCATGGTTTGTGTAACCTCGTAAATATTGTCTAATCAAATTGAACGTATATTTTATGATTTTCAAAAACAGCAAATGAAAATGAATACTCACTTCCGAAGGGGTAAAAAGAGATTTTCAGCAAATAAGGATGCTTTTTGTTGTAATTGGCAAGGAATACGTCAATCCGAAATCCCAGTCACGCATTTGTAACCTCTGTAATGAAATGTAATGCACATTGCTTTTTTTGAAGAATGGAAAACGAAGACGAATGTTTGTTATTGCGCAAACGGAACCAGGTTTTAAGTCGTTTTCAAATATACGCTAAATTGATTTTTCTTTCAAATTGGATCGTGCATTTTCCGAAGTGGGCAGGGAAAACTTATATTACATGAAATACACAATTCTAAACGGGGCGATGCCCTTTAAACATTGTGAAATCACCGTTGACCGAGAGGATGAATGGTAAATTAACAGAAATCAACCGATAAATCAACATTGATAGTGAAAGTCTTGTTAGTCTTTCAACCCTCAAGTCAGACTTTCTTCTGACCGCCTGGGCTGTGCGATCTTTAAGAAGTATGAAAAAGCCAAACAAAATGTGAGAACACCCATGTGTAACTGTGGAGTTTCAGTTCAGTCCCTTGCACGGTTTTGTCCTTGCAGTCACAGGTATAATTAATAGCCTCTTGCGTGTCAGTCTTTGTGATACAACACCGATGTTATTATAAGTTGACATGTCATTTGAAGTTGAGGTCGTTTTCCTCCCAAGTTCTTGGGAAGCGCTTTATGGCGTTGCGGGAAGGGGGGGGGGTGCTGAATCAGCTTGTGTGTATGTAACACTTCGCTTGTTGGTGTCTTCTCTAGCGAGATGACTTTGTTTTGGCTGCCACCTTGGCTTCACCAGACAGTAACTTTACTCCTCATGCTAGACGCCCTGTCGGGCGGGAAAGTTCACGGACAGTAAGTACGGTACTCAATGTGCCAATCTTGCAATTGTTTTGAATTTTTTACACTGTAGGAAGTAGCAAGAATCAGTAAAACGGAATTACCATATACGAGCGACAAACTAAACGAGGTTTACTGCAGACAAATTGTCGAGCTCCATTTAACCGAATTTTAATGCAGTTCGGTATTATTGTTCAGTTTACTAAAAAATCTTTTCAATTTCATTTTCCAAACAGGCAATCGGGGAAATATTGCAATAAAACTTAAAAGGACTTTTTTTTTCAAATTAACCTTACAAAAGAGCATGCAAGTGCGACCATGCTGTGGGCCAAGATCATAATACTGGCCATCAGAATTTTCATTGTTCCACTGCAGAATTCACATAAATTGGCGGCCAACGTCATTGCCAATACCAAAGAAAGACTTGACAGATTCATTACGTCAAAGAAGATACATGTGATCCATTAAGGTGTGAATGCGAAAAAACACGCCACTAGGAATATGGAATAATGACAAAACATTGCAATAATTTTGGCATTAACACCACTAAATTACTTTTTTTTTTTGGTTTTGAAGTATAGGCCTACATTTCCTATTTTAATATTCTTGATGGTTGTTCAACTTTGCAACAATTCCGTCTACGTCTTTAGCGTTAACATAGAGCTGGTTGCTCTTTTCTGTGAATGAATCGTAAAGCTCATGTGTCAGTACATGTACTACGCCATTGTACAAACCCCTTTTTCGTATTGCAACGTGAGAGAGACAGTTTTTTGGCAGTAAATGATCGATTTTGATGTGTTGAATTTAACCAACAACCTTGGAGGTTTAAGTTTCTTACAGTTTTTGTTAAAAAAATGATTGAAAATCCGCGATTTTCATCATGTAAATCACATTGGACAAAAGAGTTTTTACCCGCATAGTGATTTAAACCAATAGGGGCCCAGCATTTGGGAGCCGCCCACTTGTCCAAGATGGCCGGGGAAGCAGATGTCGATTTCACATGTTTCTAGCAAATCTAACGATATTTATGCCACAACTGCGTGTATTGTACTTTGTAACTGGACTACGATGGAATGCATTTTGCATGATCAAAGCACGTCGGATTAAAAGGTATGTGCAAATTGGGTAACAGCCAAAGTACGTGCGTCCCGTGGCAGGAGACTGATGATGCATTCTATCAGGCGAAACCACCGCAGTAGCGAAGAAACACGCGGAGTTATGGCTGTTAGATAAACCCCCGGAGACATGCATCGAGAGAGCCAAATCAAATCTGCCGTCAGGCAGATGAAGAGAAATCGCATTCAGCTCGGCCCACTGAACTGCCACCGCCACCGAACGCGAAACGCACAGGGTTGTAGCTGCAGTTGATAGCCTCTGAACCCGGCCCCTCAGGATCTAGGCCTACCGTAACTGCGACTGCAAGCAGAAGAACACTGCTTTCACCGCACCTTAACTTGTTTCATTTTTCCAGTTTGTTATCCTATTATTTTCATCCGTCTATTGTCATCCGTCTATGATAATAGTATTAAGATGAACATTCCATATGTCTATTTTGATAGTGCCTTATTAATGATAGACTGTGAACTTATTAAGCAACTTTATTGGTCTAAAATGCTATGAGCGGTAAAGTTGATTCATTTTTACAACGGGCCACTTGTTTGTTGATCTCAGCGTTATTCACCATTTACAAATGTAAACTACTTATTAAGTTCTCCAAAGATGGGGCAGTGGAAGCATACATTTACGTTCTTTATCGTGAAAGTCCACTAATAGCACCCCCGTTTTTTGAATGGCACAGTTATTGGGCAGGGTGGCACAGTATTTTTGAAGTAAAGGTTTACCTACTTTAACAACCTGTTAGTTTAAAGTTCCCTCAGATTTTGTGTTCGAAATGAGGAAACCTTTGCAATTTTCAATGCCCATTGACGAAGGGGTACACTGTTTCTGCCTTTTAATCTTGTTCATTGAAAACAGTGTGGCAAAAATCGTAATGGAGAGGGGCAATAAATGGTAATTGATTAGGACCAAATTGCCCTGAGAACTGATAACCTCTATTGGTCATTTGTCCTATTTCATTGCATCATGTTTTCTCATTTTCAGCCCCTTTAAACTCCTCACTGAACAATAACGATTGTACCTTTAATTGATATAGGTTACACTGCCTTTAATACGAGCTGCAGAATCAAGGACAAAGCAGTATTTTGATGCTGTATAGTTCCCCTTGTAATCTCAATGGCCTTTAGAGGATTAATGTGACTCTTGCCGGAGGGCATAGTTAACCCTTGTAATCTTCAAACTACAAAGAATTCAGGAATATTACTATTTAATTTTACCTTTAAGTCTGTGAAAAAACAACGCCCTGTCACTTGTCTACAGACTACAGTGATCAACAATTCGTAAAAAAGCTACATTCAAAAAGGTGTGCACCTTTAATAGGCCATAACTAAAAAAATGCAGGATTTGGGGAGTGCCAGTATAACACCATATTCTCCACCCTCAAAAATATATAAATCATCGAAATATTGATTCCCAAAGATGACCCACAAAGTCATTTTTAGAGGGAATTCAGGGGTCCGTACGGCGGCCTACATTGCTTTTGACTTCACTTGTCTTCATTTGATTAATAAATACCATTCTGCTGTCTACATAAAACTGTAGAGTAGAACTGTACGGAATCGACGTTTAAGATTACAAATTACTATGCGGTTTTTTTAATCCTTATTCAGACACTTAAAAACTCATGCAGGAATATTGCACAGTTACCTAACGGTCTGATTTGCTTGTATATTCATGCAATGGTCGTTGTTTTACTTCATTACGCCAAACACGGAAATCAATCACATACATCATAAATATCTTTTTCAGCATAGGTTATATGAATTCCGAACGGGTAGGGTTTTTCCTCACATTCACTGAATTTCTATTAATCGCACTCTCTGTTCAGGAATACATGCACCTCGGGACACTATTACGTACAGGAGACCACTGCGGTTTCGCAGCGATATACCACGTCTTGCGGTTTTTGGGGTT